TTATAATCAGTAATTATGTCCCCACTGGATGCAACAAATGCCTCGTTTGTAATGAGTTTTAATTTTGTATCGTCGCTCCGGCCTGACAGGGCATCAAACAGTATGTGAGGGGTGTAACATTTCCGTCTCACGCTTGAGGTATTCGGCCAATCACAACGCACTGGATAGCTGGCCAATCACAGCACACCTCACTTTTTCAGACCGATGAGCTTTGTAAAAATCGACACGTTTCAAAAAGGCGGGGCATAGAGGAGAAACAATAATGTACAGTATGTGGAAAATAAGGTGTTTTTTGAACTTTAAACCGCATAAACACATTTCATTACACCAAATACACAAAATAATGTTCTTTTTAGCAGCATCATATGACCCCTTTAATTTGTGTTCCGAAGATGAGCAAAGGTCTTACGGGTTTGAAATGACATGAGGGTGAGTAATTAATGACAGAATTTTCATTTTTGGGTAAACTAACCCTTTAATACCAATTGGTCAATCTCAATGGTGAAAATTAAAAAAAATTTATTATATAATGAGTGCTTAACTGTATGAGTGGTTTCATATCACTCTGCGGTCTCTCTCTTTTTACACAAACACAAGTTGGTATATCAAAATTGCAGTGTTATTTTGGTATTACTTATATACTATTAAAGTGTTTCTTAGTATTTTGAAATAGCTTTTATTTTTTACAAAAAAATTGTTTCCCCCCATATATTCCATAATTATATTAATATTTAAATGATAAAAAATAAATAAATAAATGAATACTCTATAATACAAAAAATTAAATAATTTAGTTTATATTTAATAATACTAATATTTGTAGTCTAATTTATTTGTTTTTATTTAAACAAAACAATGGTAATTTTACCACATTTCACCACTTTTTTTTTACCACATTGCACTATTCTAGCATATTTTGAGTGATCCATGTAGAATTCTGTGTGGAATAAGATATTAATTAATATATTTAGAAATAGCTTTTATTTTTATATATATTCAGTTTTCATTTCGAAGTTTTAGTAATTATGCGGTTTTGTCATTATTATTGGTTTTCTTTTAAATTTCTATTCAGCTTTAATTTATTTTGTTAACACTTGTCTTTCTTACCTCTTCTCCACCATCTCCATCTCCTTTTCGCGGTGGCTCCGTCATGTCTTCTTGGCTGCGGACGCTAAAGTTCTGGATGGCCTGACTGACTCCTCTCAGGGAGCTGTAGATCTCCTCAGAGTTCATGTTTTCGGTATCGTAATCAAATGCACTGTGCACACACACAAAATGCCACAGGACATTAGTTATGGAGAAATGCTGAACAAACTCAAATTACAACATCTGCCGAATGAATCTATGTCCATGTTTGTAGTTTGTGACTCAGTGGCGTACCTTGGTGAAGGTGTGTTTTGTGATGTGTTGGTAGGGGACGTTAAAGGGCTCGACCAACTGGCTGGTGATCTTGGAGTGTGTCGGGTGAGTGGGCTTCCCATTGGAGCCTGCGAGAAAAAAAAGATTTCTTAGGCTGATGATACACGGGGCAACTTTAGTCAATGTTGCCATCAACGGGCAACCAGGTGAGAGACAGGGCCCGCGACTGAACTAAATGATCCAGATAGATGGGAAAGTGCCCAAGCAACATTGCTCAAAAAAAGTTGCCCAGCAAAATTGCTCAAAAATTTGTCCCGTGTATCATCAGTCTTAAGGTCATTTTACACCGAGTCCGAAATTTTCGCATGTTAAAAAATAAATACGACCTAACGTTGTGTCAATCACGTTTACACACTACCTCAGAAACATTGGTCAGTCATAAAAAACATTTGGATCGGTTTTGATTTTCTGCGTTTTCGTATCCGTAACAAGCATTTTGATAGGAAAGGATGACGAATTTGAAAAAAAAACCCGGAAAAAAAACGCATATGAAAATTTCGGACTCAGTGTACAAAAACTTTAGTACTGACAGAAAAGTGGTTTATACGTCACATCAACACAAATGTTCGGCACAAATATTTTGTCAGATTTTTGCATGTGATTTGTCTGTTCTGATCAATGTGGTGAAAAAAAGCAGATGGGATGAATGAAAATGCTAATTCCTTCTCTGACAGTAGGTGGCGCTTATGGAAATACAGCCGTACATAAGGGCAGTGGTTTAATTTTCTGACACTGCCACAGAGAAGAAAGGAATCAAGCAGTATTTACACATTTTCAAACAGCCATTCAGATTTTTGTATTAGCTATGATGTTTATCAAAAACACAGGTTCTGCATTTTTCCTGCTATTCAGTGTTAGCAAATCAGTTCAAATCAGTTTGAGCACCACCAAATTGCAGTTTGACAAAAAAAACAAAACAAAAAAAAACCCCACACCATTCCATATGATTACACAACAACAACAATAATAATAATAATAATAATAATAATAGTAGTAGTAGTATTTAAAAATATATATTTATTTGATTACTATTTAAATTATAAAAATTAAAGAAATATATTAATACTGTAATAATTTCCTACTGTCAAAATATTTAATATTTATTTTACTTAGCATTTAACAATTTAATAATATTAATACTTTTATTTACAGCTTAATTTGTATCATTTAAAAAGATACCTACAGGACAGTATCACATTTCTATCATATTTCACATTATTCTAGCATGTTTATGGCTGATCCAAGTAGAATTGTGGGTGGTATAAGATACTATACAGTACATATTAATAAAAAAAAAATAATAATAATAATCTCTTATGCGCACCAAGGTTGCATTTATTTAATCAAAAATACAGTAAAAAGAGTAAAATATGTTTTCAATTTGAACATTTTAAAATGTATTTATTTTTGTGATGATAATGCTGAATTTTCAGCTTCATTACTCCAGTCTTCAGTGCCACATGATCTTTCAGAAATCATTCTAATATGCTGATTTGGTGCTCAAGAAACGTTTCTTATCATCAATGTTGAAAATTGTTATGCTGCTTAATATTGTTTTGTGAATACTGTGATATATTCAGGTTCTTTGATGAATAGAAAGTTCAAAAGAACAGCATTTATTCTAAATAGAAATATTTGTAATATTACATGTCTTTACTTTTGATCAATTGAATGATCGATTTAATTTTAATTTAATCGGATCTATCTGTGAGTTTCCGTGGAAGAGGTAAACCGTCGGTTACTTTTGAAACTGGATTTAAGTTGAGCTAGCTCAGCTGAGGGATTTTAGTTGTGGGAGCTGCGCGTTATAGAATTGCTTCCCCTGAGTCTCACTGACCTGTACTGCTTGGTTCCACACTTGGATATTTTCCAGCAGTGCGCAAACATGCCGTCGCTTTCTGAGGGGAAGCAATTCTATAGCCCCGCCCCCGTACCGGCAACAGCGCCTTTTCCCCGGCTTCAGAGAGAGAGAGGGAGAGCACATCAATGAAAGGAAGCCCCAGACAGACATGCAGATAAGGGGAGGGACAGAGGGAAAACTGGACAGGATGCGATATTAAGTAATACTGCTGAAAAAATATGCTGAATGTGAGGCATATGAAGGGGAGATGGTTTGGTTAGAGGGGAGTTGGGTCTTTGCGTGTGTGGACATGGCAAATGTGGTTATGGGCTTGGTGTAGGACAGGGTTTCCGAAGGAATTTTATTGTTGCAGCCGAAGACGACAACACAAATGTTGCTAAATAATATTTTTCATGGTATTTTGTATATTACAATACAATTTTAATTAAACTCTGAATATAAGATGTGTAATTTTGTCTTTTGGATGATTTTCTCTTTTTTTTCCCTTTTTTTTAATCAATATTGGCCAACACTGGATATTTAATTGTTCATGTTGATTTGCTTTAATTTTACATTTAGACTACCTTTGGTGTCATCTAACATTGTAAATTCAGCAACCTACAGTGTTGTAATTGTGAACTAAAACTATTAAAAATCAGGGAATTCTGAAAATAAAATAAAATATTGGATTAAAAACAAGAATCTAAAAACCTAAATGAAATTTAAAAAAGATGCCTTGTGTAATCTAACTGAATTAAATAAGAGTAAGTTGAAGCACTGAAGTTACTAAAAAAAAAAAAAAAAAAAAAAAAAAAAAAAATAGAAGTATATCAAGAAAAATGAATTCATGAAATGCATGACAATGACAAACTAAAGAAAATAAAAATAAAAGCCAATTCAAAATATTAATAAATATAAAAATAGTAAAAAAATATATATATATATAAAACACTGTTCCCTTACCAACTAAATTGAAACGAAGTTACCTTATGCATTCAATAAGTTAAAGCATTAAAGCTAAAACCGAAATAAAAATAAAATTAAGCTATATAAAAAAATACAAAAATTTGAGAAAATATAAAACTAAAAGCCAATTCAAAATATTAATAAATACTACAATACTATATAAATAATGCAAAAATACACTGGCACCCTATCAATAAAAAACAAGTGTATTTTGTATTGTAAGATGGTATCAATTGATCTATTCATTCACAAATTTGACAATGCATTAGCAATGCAACAACTAAAACAGTGGCTCTTCAGATTCAGCTGAGGTGCAGGAAACACTGTGAGGTAGAGGTTGGAGATTCTTATGCAAGGCAAAGTCCTTGTGGCTTGCATGAGATTTTATGGAGGATAACAACAACCTGAAAACACTGACCCAGTGCATGACATCCTGTAGAAACTCCAAAACAAGCGCTTAAGCAAGACCTGGCAGCCGCAATCCATGTTACTTTACATTCTCTGATACCAGCACGACACTATCAAGCCTAGTTGCTCATCCACACAGTGAAAGAAGATAAAGTGTCTCCAAAAAAGCACTTACCTTTAAGTTGGGTGTCTGTGTTTGGTCAACTGTGAATCTCATTAGGATAGTGAACTGTAGATCATTCGAGAAAGATTCTCTGAAGAAAAACACAAGAAATGAATAAACTATTCTCAAGCACCAAAATCTGTGGACACTTCGTATCAGAGCATGGCAGAAATAATGGATTCCAGTTTTTCCATATATACAGGGTTAGTACACATTTTTACCAATAAATGTTCATGACTTTTGAGAAAATATTCATGACCTAATGTTCCATTATTTTACAATAAGAATAAAAATCTGTTCAAATTATCATAGCATATGTTAACTAAAATTATTGACTATTAATGCTATTGTTTGCTTTCTTGTTTTAGTAATAAGCTGCAACTGCGCCACACATTAATGTGTTCTCTCTCTCTCTCACAGCTTGACATGCTCAGGGCAAGTTCTGCAATCCTACTGTATGTGTACAGTATGTACATTGAGGCCAAATTTCTTTTTATTTTGATACTTTTTAAAAATAAATATAAAACACCGTTTTATTTGGATGAATTTGTCTGACTTTTATCAGATTTACCCATTGTTATAATATCGGTAGTACTTTCCTTAGTTTCTGGTAGCCAAAGCGAAGTTAAAGCTTCTGGTTGCAAAGCAGTTGGAGAGTTTTTGACTGCATCAAAGTCTAGTGTGACCGCAGCTTTACACTCCGCGTGTGCGAGCATCCATGTTGGCTGGTAGGTGTCCTTTAACTCTGTATAACCCGAGACTGAGACAGCTATGAACTCGGCAGAGAGCTTCCCTCTGGATCCGTCCATTAATTATAGCAGGACAAGATATCCCTTATTTCTCAGCGTGAGAGCGTGTGAACGGGTTGAAATGCATGTGACTCACGGTGAATGCATGAGATTTGAGAGCCCTGCTGATCTGATCTGATATTCTGTGTGGATTTATTTACTCATCAAACCTACATGCTATAGGCCAGGGGTGGCGAACGTCGGTCCTGGAGAGCCGCAGCCCTGCAGAGTTTTGCTTCAACCCTAATCAAACACACCTGAACAAGCTAATCAAGGTCTGAACAGTTACTAGGAAGCTACAGGCAGGGGAGTTTCAATTAGGGTTGGAGCTGAACTCTGCAGGGCTGCGGCTCTCCAGGACCAGAGTTCGCCACCCTGCTATAGGCTATTGAATAAATGTGTGAATAATCATCATTTTAAAGTTGAAAGCTGCGGGAATGAGTAAAACTATGCGATATAGCCTATGCACAATCCCGCACCGAAATTCAGGACCTGATTAAACAATTCTATTATACAGAGATTTGTGAAATAGACTTTTCCAAAACTTTCTGGGTTAATTTATTTTTCCAAAACTTTTCCAGGCCTGGAAATTGCGGTTTTAAAATTCCATGACTTTTCTAGGATTTTCATGACCGTACAAACCCTGCATATAACATACCTTGTGACGTCTAGGGCTTTCTGTACTTTGGCTTGTACTGAGCCGAGCAGATCCGCTCCCATTTTCTTCAGCAGTTGTGTGAGCAGTACAAAGAGCCAGTCCTGCAGATCCTCCTTATGAACAGCAATGAAGTCCACCAGTGTTTCCAAAAACATGCTGAACACCTGTACAAACACCATCAGCAAAACAGACATCAGAAATATACAACAACAGCTAAATCAGTAAGAATAAATTAACAAAAACACATGACCACAAAAATAATCAGTTTTGATTCATGCATCCATCGCACTTAGTCAGAGGACATTTGTTGTTCATTTGTTAGTTAATGTTGCAATGTTTTTGTCTCCCAGTAGGAAAATGTCTAAGCAGTGCCAATGCCATCACCCACCTTCACCTAAAACTGTGATATGCCAGACATAAAAGCTTAAAGGGATAGTTCACCAAAAAATGAAAATGTAATGTTTATCTGCTTACCGCCAGGGCATCCAAGATGTAGGTGACTTTGTTTCTTCAGTAGAACACAAACGAAGATTTTTAACTCAAACCGTTGCAGTCTGTCAGTCATATAATGGAAGTGAATGGAAGTCACGGCTTTGAGAGTCAAAAAAACATACACAAACAAAACCATATTAATGGTGTGTAAAGACACGAAACGATCGGTCTGTGCAAGAAACTGAACAGTATTTATATTGTTTTTCACCTCTGATTATTGCATTACTGCCACCTATCTCTCAAATGGACCATTGACACTCCTAATTGAGTTTGTAGATAGTGTTAATGGTCCATTTGAGAGATAGGTGGCGGTAATGCACTTATAAGTCTGCGATCTGCCATAAAGCAAGAAGAAGAAAAAGATGATGATGCGTCACACCCCGGCTGTTGAGAACGCACTCAGGACAGTTCGGACATTGCGGTGAATCAAAGGTAAAAAACTATATAAATACTGTTCAGTTTCTTGCACAGAGCGATCGTTTCGTGTCTTTACACTTCAAGGTATCGTCACAAGCCACAGGGTTTAATTTGGTTTTGTTTGTGTATGTTTTTTTTACTCTCAAAGCCGTGAATCCTATTCACTTCCATTATATGACTGACAGACTGCAACGGTTTGAGTTAAAAATCTTCGTTTGTGTTCTACTGAAGAAACAAAGTCACCTACATCTTGGATGCCCTGGGGGTAAGCAGATAAACAATACATTTTCATTTTTGGGTGAACTATCCCTTTAAAGGGGTCATAGGATGCAATTAAAATTTTTCCTTTCTCTTTGAAGTGATACAAGCTCTTGGTGCATAAAGAAGATCTGTAAAGTTGCAAAGACTAAAGTCTCAAATCCAAAGAGATATTTTTTTAATAAAAGTTAAGAGTCAACCACGCCTACCTAAAACGGCTCGTTCTAACACGCCCCCAACTTGTCTACGTCACGATGTGGGCGGGGGCTGATCCGTGCTGGTCGCTGAGGAAATACATCAACTTCGCGGCTGTGGATCGCCGGATCGGCTTTCACCGTGGACGAAGCGGAGTCCAGTTCGGGGTCGTCACATGTGGTTACTGTAAGCCCACCAGACGCGCCGTCAAATCCGCCGGCCGTGTCGTTTTCTAGCCTGCCGGCCTCCGCTCATTCTAGCCCGCCATGTGTGACGCTGTGTTTCTCGTTGTGAAAGCAAAACTACTTTGTTTGGCCTTCCAAAAGAGGACACGACTAGAAATCAGTGGTTAAGTTGTATTTACAACACTGTTCCAGAACAGCTCAACCCAAATATTCAGATGTGTGCAGCACATTTTATGGAGGACTGTTTCCTGATCCTGGTAGAGTAGACTACAATGCCGGCTGTTCAGACTCACAGAGTGTAAGTAAGTTTTTTATATTTAAAGAATTTGCCACTGACGATTCAAACGTGAGTTTTGAGCAGTGTAGAGTAGCGCTTGTTGTTTGTCATTTCTTCGATCACAAATGCAGACATGGTTTTGTGTTTATGCGGCGCGATGCAACGCGTAAAAAGACAGTATATGTCATTAGAATCCGTAATAGATGCAACAAATGCCTCGTTTATAATGGGTTTTAATGTTTTTGTCTTTAATATAAATTCTGATTTGACTCCAACTGGTTCCAACTGAATAGCATTAGTTAGTAAAGAAACCCCACTTTTCATAAAAAGTCAATCGGAACAGCATAAATTATAAACTGTCATCATGATGGTCTCTATATAATTAATAGTGATGTAGGGAAGTAATATAAAATTAGAGAGATATGGGGAAATTGAAGGTAAGCAGAAATCGATTGGTTCACAATATTTGATAATCAAAGTTTTTCCAAATGGCACACTATGATTCAGTCAGCAGTTTATTTAGTTTGATAAAGGCACTACTTAGTTATTTACCTACTTGGGAATTTCAGAAGATTTTCCCCATTAAAAACAAAAAAACAGCATGCTAATTGTTACATTACAACCAATATTGTGAAAGATCAAACATCCGAACTACTGATGTTTACAATACAGACATTTTTTTAGATATTCTTGATTAGTTAACAGCAAAGCCACAGATTAATAGCAGGATCAAAAACATCTTTGTCATCTGTTAGGTGTCACATTTTCATCATCCATCATTCATTCATCATGTTACTGATTAGTACATTAGTAAAGTAGATTGCACTGTTAATGCTCAGTCCCAAACACAGCCAAAAACGCTGCCCATGCTTTCCAGCTATTTATTAGAGAAGCATCTCACAGTTTATGGATACTTGCATTGCATAAAAACAAACAAGCAGTCAAAAAAAAAAAAAAACACAAAAAAAAAATATATATATTTGCACAAAAGTTAACCACACTTACTCTCTACAGTTCCACCACAGGGTAAGGCATGAAAAGAAACAAACACACTGGTGAATGTCCGTAAAAAATATATAAAAGATAAATGCTAACCATTTGCAGAACCATTTTGGGAACAACATAAAAATGAATAAATACATTAAAATTAAGTTTAACATTTAAACATGGTATGATACTGTATTAAAAGGTTAATTCATCCGCACACTATGATTCAGTCAGCAGTTTATTTAGTTTGATAAAGGCACTACTTAGTTATTTACCTACTTGGGAATTTCAGAAGATTTTCCCCATTAAAAACAAAAAAACAACATGCTAATTGTTACATTACAACCAATATTGTGAAAGATCAAACATCCGAACTACTGATGTTTACAATACAGACATTTTTTTTAGATATTCTTGATTAGTTAACAGCAAAGCCACAGATTAATAGCAGGATCAAAAACATCTTTGTCATCTGTTAGGTGTCACATTTTCATCATCCATCATTCATTCATCATGTTACTGATTAGTACATTAGTAAAGTAGATTGCACTGTTAATGCTCAGTCCCAAACACAGCCAAAAACGCTGCCCATGCTTTCCAGCTATTTATTAGAGAAGCATCTCACAGTTTATGGATACTTGCATTGCATAAAAACAAACAAGCAGTCAAAAAAAAAAAAAAACACAAAAAAAAAATATATATATTTGCACAAAAGTTAACCACACTTACTCTCTACAGTTCCACCACAGGGTAAGGCATGAAAAGAAACAAACACACTGGTGAATGTCCGTAAAAAATATATAAAAGATAAATGCTAACCATTTGCAGAACCATTTTGGGAACAACATAAAAATGAATAAATACATTAAAATTAAGTTTAACATTTAAACATGGTATGATACTGTATTAAAAGGTTAATTCATCCCAAAATGAACATTCTGTCATCATTTACTCACCCTCATGTCATTCCAATCCCTTAAGAAAGTCCCTTAAGAATACATGTATAGTGATCATGTCTCTTCAGAAGACTTGGATTAAACCACTCAAGTCCGTATTCTCTATGCATTTGGAATGACATGAGGGTAAGTAAATGAAGACATAATTTCCATTTTGGGGTGAACTAATCTTTTAAGGAAAGGATTCAAACACTAGAAATGAAAAATAAGGCACCCTTTTGAAACAAGACCACTGTAGACCAATAAAAAAAGAGGGGAAATGGTATGAAATCCATAAGCATATTTTGCTATTTAAATATCCACACTTTTAGTTATCCACATAAAAGGATCCAGGGTTTTCCATACCCCTGAAGAAAAGCTTGGGTGGCTGTAGAATGTGATTGTGTTGGACAGGAGTGTCAGAGTGACTTCTGTACCTTAAAAGAGGCAGAACTGATACCGGATTCTGCCATGACGAAGCCTCTGGGATCACGCTGCAAATCAGAAAGAGGGGCGGGCCATGAGCCATGAGCCCAGTAATCAGATAAATGGGGCGGAGCTACGGCCTACCCGACAAGATACAGAATGCCAGAAGGAGGTTCAAGGAGAAAGAGAGACACTTCAAACGCGGGTTAGTCTGTGTGCGTGTAGGACTGGGCTGTCAATTCAACCAATAGTTTATGAGTACAATTTTTAAGAATCATTTAAATTTATATAGAAAAGACACTTGAAACATCAGCGCTTACACTGAAATCCTGCAAGGCTATATTGAACTTTCACATTCTCATTCTCTCATGTTCTTCATAATGGTCAGAGATTTGCATGAAACTTAGATTTTAAGATGTTCTTTTTTTTTCTCGGGAATTGTGACAGTCCCAGTATGTGTATGCGTGAACGCAAGCAAGAAAGGAAGGAAAGCTACAGAGGAAGTTTGGACATCGGGCGTAACAGTGGTTGAAAAAAGACGAGCGAGCTGTCTGAAATCAGAAATCCACTCAAACCAAACCATGCGATTAGCCACGGTCTTCAACCCCAGAATTAGTGTGCACTGCACATGCCTGAGAGTGTGGATCTGTGTGTTTGTGGCGAGAATACGGGCTGTGGGTGAGGCAGAATCCGATACAGTCAAGCGGTTTTGTGTGATGCAGTTCATGCTGGTGTATGTCTTGCAGAAGTGTGTGCGTGTAGTGTAAGTGTGTTCTGGAGCTTGAAAGCGGCAAACGAAGGTACCTTGCTGTGTGGGTCTGCAAACATCCTCGTGAAAATTTCGCACAACCTCTTCAGCTCAACACGGCTGAAACAGATAGAAAGAATAAATTAAACCCTTTCACTGAACATGAATCATTCAATTTAGTAAAGTTGGATTATGAAAAACAAATCACACCTTATTTTGTGTTTGAATGGGTTACCTGAGAGTTCGTTGGTTTTTTAACAGTGCTTGCAATCCCATCAGCCCCTCTTTTCTCTCAGACCAATTGGCAGAGGCACAGCGATTGAGCACTTCGGCCACGTCCTCAGTCTGCCGCATATACGTTGGAATGCTGCCATTCCGGGAGCTGTACGAACGCTCTGAACACGCGCTGGAGGCATCGCTATTTGCATCATCATCCGAGTACATCCCATAGGTGTCATACCTCCGTCGAGCTGGTTTCTTCTGCTTAGAAAAACATAAAATTACATCCAAATTACCATTTTATGTATAAAGTCAACACTGAGACAACTTCAAAAAAAAAAGAAAGACTGTGAAAATGTAAATTTAACGTCATCTTAATGAAGAGAGAAAGACAGAAAGCCAGCCAGACTAACCTTGCCCCGCATGTCTCCTAATAGCTGGCAGCATTGATAAAGCCAAAGGTTAAAGCATGAGTTGAAGACAGACATTTAGCACATAATACACTGGCTAGGTTAATTTTGTGAGTAACGTTTTTTCTATAAGTTTGCATACCCCTTGCAAAGTCTGCAAGATGTTTATAGCTTAAAAAAAAACTGGTATGCATATGACACTTATGTCATCCCTACATAATATTAAATCCCAATCCTATATAAATATATAGTGATGTCAAAAGTGGAATATCCATACCAGTTGTTTTTTTAATACACAAAACTATGGGATCAGTAGGATTTTTTAATCTTTTATACTTCTTTAATAGTATTCTTATTCTCACCAAGGCTGAATTTATCTGATCACAAATACAGTAAAAACACTGTTATTGTGAAAAATTATTAGTTTAAAATAATAATTTTCTCTTTCAAAGGGGTCCTATTATGCTTTTTCACTTTTTCAACTTTAGTTAGTCTGTAATGTTGCTGTTTGAGCATAAAAAAGATCTGCAAAGTTACAAAGCTCAAAGTCCACTTCAAAAGGAGATATTTTATTTAACAGAAACCACATATCAAAAACTACAACGAACGACTCGTTTGGACTAAAACGCATATTTTCCAGGATTTGTGATACCACAAATATCGACAAATGGGAGGAGACCTGGTTGAGCTGCACTAGAGAAGGCAACGAGTGTTATCACTATGTCGGGGACACGCTAGCTTTCCCAAGGCAGATGAACTTAGAGTGGTTATAATCATCCAGGTTTAAAACATGCTCAAATTGATTTGATTTTTACACAATATTTACACTGAAGCTCGCAGCAGGCGGCTATGGTAAGGGGCACGACATTTCCCGACCAGGTGCCGAGTGCTGCCAATCACAACACACACTGGCCCAGCTAACCAATCACAGCACATTTTGTATTTCAGAAGGCAGGCTTTCATTTGATACAGGAACTATTCAAGTCGTTCACGCCAGACTGGGGAGAGAGGTGTTGTAATAATGTAAAATATGTAATGCAAACTCAAGACTTTGTAAAAGAGTATAATAGGACCCCTTTAATCTATTTTAAAATGTAATTTATTTGATATAAATTTTAATGTAAACTTCAGTAACACAATCCTTCAGAATTCATTCTAATATATGTTGATTTTCTGCTTAAACATTTATTATTATCAGTTTAAAACTGTTGTGGTGCTTAATATTTTTGTGGAAACTATGAGACATTTTTTATATTATTTTTTATTTTTTGAAGTAGAAATGTTGTGCAACAATGTAAAAGTTTTTACAGTCACGTCTGATCAATTTACTTCATCCCTGCTGATTAAAAGTAATAATTTCTTTCAAAACTAAAAAAAACTTACTGACCTTAAACATCTGTAAGGTGTATATAAACAAATAAATAAAACAAATGATTCTCTTTTTAAAACTTCCAAAAGTCAGATTCTGGGTATGTAATTGTTTGATAAAAGGGTATGTAAACTTGTGTATGAGAAGGGTGTAAGCAGAGTTCCCATATGTGTCTGTATTTATTTTTACCAGAGCATCAGCCAAGGCTTCCTCCACGTCCGATCCTGTGTTCAGCACTCTCATGGCACTAACTGAGGATGAGAGACGACTGGACTGAGACATACCCAACCCAGAACCTACAACACACATCACACATTTTACACATACATGCACAAATACATTTCCAAACAAAAAACTTCATGCAGTGATCAATACTGAGAAATCAATTAAAACATAATTCACCAATAATATGGATATTGACACTAGAAAACCAGAAACAAATGATTACCACTGAAAAACACTAATGAAATTGAACCACAAATGCCAATACAACAACAACAAAAAATCCAAAAACAAGTACACACATAAAAAAAAAACTTGGGTTAAATTCAGGGAAAAAATGATAGGTGACTGTGAAAGATGTTCCACATGAATATACTTGAATACGGTTGTTATAAATGTAATTGGAGGAACAGCTGTAATGAACACTAAACTTAAAGCATGCAGGTCTGATGGAGGCTAAACTGAAAGCAGCAGGAGGAGGAGATGAAAAACTACAATTCAAAAACTGACAATGACTTAAAAACAAAAAAAATGTAAAGAGTCCTGTGCCGGCTGGGGTGACAGTTCACCTGCTGCCCCGAAGGCATCTGGGGCATGAAGAGCACCAGTTGAGCGAGAATAATGCCGGGATGCTGCAACACACACACAAGAATGCAAACAAGCACACACACGCGTAAATAACCAGGCAAGTGTTAGAGCTCACCAGAGAAACTCCCAATTAGCAGTAATGTGAGAATGTGCCATCACCAACCACACACATGCCCCGCTGTGACACACACATTTCACAACGCTCAAGGGTATTAGTCCAGTTCTGCTTGTGTTCTGCACAACACCAGGAATATTTTCACACTTGGGCACCCCTCAAAAGTTATTCTGAATTACCTAACCTCAAAAATATTGCTGGCAGCAGAGTCTCTATCTTAAATTTTATTATCCTCATTCCACTTTGAAGTTTGTGCCTCTCAAAACAAACTTGAAAATGTTGATTATTTCCCAAAAAGAAAAGAAAAAAAAGATGTGTTGCACTATTTGGCACACTGAGGGCTCCATGTTTAATTTAATAAAATACTTGTGAGAAGGCTTTTGCACATTATTTACTTATATACAGTCATCAAGGAACGGCATTCACAAACTATTTTTCTTCCTTCCAGAAATGACATTTCTGTGCAAAACAGGATATTCAACAAGACAATAAAAAAAAAAGTAGGGTAGATACTGATGAGGAATGGGTATTAAGAAAACTGATGACTATTAGGTTTATTCCTAATATTTCCTGTCTGTGGTTTTACATAATTTGTCTCTGGTGTGCTGTATTTAAGGACCTCAGATGAAGCTTGTGTCAGCATTCATCAGCAATGTTTACTATGTAAGATGAGGCAAAAAAAAAAAAAAAAAATTTCCCAGGAGAAAACTGCTTCCTGACCAAGCTGCAACATGTGTGGGATTTTCAATCTCAAAAATATTTGTAATTCAACATGAGAATGTGCTTGCAGTGCTGTGTATCACTGTACAAGCATTCCTGTTTGGTAGCAGCAAAAACGTTGAAGCGAGTCGAGCAAAGAGCAAAATGTGCAAATGTGCAGAAGCTTGACTTCCAGTTTCAAATGAAGTGAAGGAGGACACGTATAATTTTTCAGCATGGCATGATTTTGTCTAATCATTTTAGGCCCCTGCTGAATTGAAGCTGATTGGTCCTGATAGATGAAATGGTTGCCGTGGTTACTCACCGAGCGGCGTGAAGGAGCGCACAGGGCTGGTGTCTCTGCTGCTCTCTCGGCTGGCCTCACGACTGCAGCCCTGACTCACACTAGGTCGTGGTATACGACTACCCCTCGCTGACCCACCCCCAAGAAAACATATCAAGACAAGAGCAGAGAGAAAAAACAGATAAAGAAGAACAGAGACATTGAAAGGTATAACAGACAGGCAAGGTAGGAGCAACAGAGAAAGAAAAGCTGTAACAATTGCATAAGGTTTTTCTAAGCACTGAAACTACAAGAGTTATTAACTTTTTGAGGAAAAAAGGGCCCAATACAGAGCCCTGAGGAACCTCACAGAAAAAGGAAGACAAACAACAAAAACACTGACATTTGTACAAATTTTCCATGCACAAATTCCACATTAAAGGAACTGATAAGAAAAGTGCAGACATTTAGTGACAGGGGAAGAACATTTAGAAAGTTAAGAATTATAGGGTGAATGCTAATAAATGGGAGGTGGAAGGTCAGGATCTTTGCTTTTATATCCTGTGTCTTAACCAATGTTCAATGTTCATCTGCATTCATGAGATGGACTTCATTCATTCACTTTCCAAAGAGCAGCATCAAGCTATGGGGTTTAACATCACAGCAGACAAGGGAAGACCCAGCAGGTTAATGTGACGGCATGTTCTGCTTTCCCAAAGCAGCGTGTTACACGCAACACAGCACAACCTCCAGCATGAAACACCATTAGGATGACAGCCCCAGCTCAGACAGGCAGATGGATTATCATTATGGGATGACTGGCGGAGATCAAGGGGGAAAAAACACCAACATACCTCCTTTTGATCCATTGTAGATGTGACTGATGTTTGAAGGAGCTTTGATTGAAAGAAAACATTTCAGTTTTGGTAAGAACATTATCGCCTCTTTATGTGAAGGCCTACTGAAGTCTCACAGCCAATGTGCAATTGCAACAAAAAAAAGTATTTTATTCATCAGAGAGAAAACATAACCGAGGAGATCATCACGATAGAAGACCACAGATAGAAGCCAGTGCTTACCAACAGATAGGCGCGTGGGGCTGGAGTCTCGACTGCAGCCTTGACTGCGTGGGATCCGGCTGCGACGGTGGGACCCCGGAGCTGCACTCACACGCTGAGCTCCTGTACTGAGTGTGCTCAGAGCTGTGCTGGTCAAAACCCGGCCTGGGGAACCCGAGCGAGAACCCGCTGTAAATATACAGAAAACAAAAACAGAACTTTTGTGAGCCTGAAAAACCACTGGAAATGTACATCTTCCTACCTATAAATTCTTTTATATGCAAACATTAACACAAAGAGCATTAAATATATATATATACAGTGGGTACGGAAAGTATTCAGACCCCTTTAAATTTTTCATTCTTTGTTATATTACACAAAATACAGACTGTCCACTATCGCCAAACTTAAACGTCACCAACAAACTAATCATCATAGCTATGCTGACATTTTTGTTGTTTATCCAGACAGCAATAATTTACATTACAATAACAATCACAGACACAGATGACAGTTTGACATAGAAGTGCTAGTGCTGTGATTCTGATTGTGTCCGAGACAAAAAGGGAAGAATGAGGTTTCCCTAGGGAACAAGTGAAAATGTTTCTATGACTACGAACTCTACACAAACACAAATGAACATGCTCACGCTGCACTTTGACACACACTAGTGACCAAATCATTAAATTTCCCCACTCAGTGACGTGAAGTAGGGGTGGGCGATATGACCAAAATCTTGTGTCACGGTAATAATACATGCCTCACAATAATTATTTTTGCTGAAAATTCAAGCAAATATATTTTATATCGTAACACAATTATTTATGTTTTTGATAATTTAGAGGCTTAAATGCTTTCAATGTGAAAGGAACATCTTACTTTATTTACCTTGATAGACACAAGTACTGAAACAGCTTCACATTACATAACACCAAAGTTTTTAAATTGCGCCACATATATACAGGAATCGTGTAGCAGATTCATAGTAAAGCAGAATATGTATTAAACAATTTATATATACCGTCATACCGCCCAGCGTTAAAGTGAGGTTTAACAAATTATTCACAGGTTTGAAGAGAGAGAAAAAAAAAACACCATCCAGAGTGATCCAAGCAACACACCCTCCATGCAGTGAAGAAAGTGGGGGCTGATGGGAAAACCCATGTTTTTCCCCCCATAAACCAGGACAAGGGAAGATGTAAGACTAGAGATTGGAGGTCCACAGGATGGGAGTGATTGGACTAAGTGAATGAGTCACAGGTGAAATATGTTGAAAATCTTACCACCAACAGGGGTAGCAGACTGTGATCCTGAGCCAATGAGGGGGGAGGATTAGGGAGCGGGGCGGGTCCAAGAGACCCATTGGGTGGGAGGAGGAACAGCATATTAAACGAATACAAATGCATTATGGGGAAAAACATGCAGTCAATGTGTTGTTTCGACACACCGTACAAATGAATAAAACCATCAGCCTGCAAATACGCGCACATAGATTCAAAAAGCCCTGCAACAGCATCGCAACTGACGTGACTTCACAACATCACCATGAAGGCACATAAAAGATGAAAAACATCATGGTTGTGTTTGTCACTGCTTTAGTTCCATCAATACTCTCAATATGTTTAAGCAGCCCAGGCTGCCCAACATTCACCGCTAAACCGATGTGTCTGAGAGTTTGTGTTTCTACACGCCTGCAGGCAGAAATGGACTGATACCGTCACACCCAAGTGAAGACCACACAGCATGCAGGCCACTCAAGACATAAAACGTTTGCTCGCTCACAAACGCTCTCACACACGTTTGCATTAACTAAACAAACACACTCGCCCACAATGTCAGACGAGGGTACCTGGCGTGCAATCAGAATCGTCGGAACCTAGAGGCACAGAAACAGTTGGAGGAGCTGTGGGTTACATCCTTGGAGCAGGATGACTCCTGATAATCTTTTACGTACACACACACACATGAAGTTGACAATGTGTGCTATAGTACGTGGTGTGAAGATGGTTTATAGTCATGTTTCACTGCATGCTTGCCATATGTGTAGAAAAATAGCATTGAGTCTTATTTTTCCTAAATAAATTAATACTTTTATTTATCTAGGATGCATTAAATTGATTAAAAGTGACATAAAAAATATTTAAATTGTTACAAAAGTAACATGCATAATAGGAATGCATAATAGGAATAATAAAATGTATAAAATTTGTGTATGGATCATTCCTGGGAGTTTCCAGTCAGTACAATCCTCTATTGGCAATTATTTTGCACTTACAGACATTTACAGACTATTAAATTTACATGAGAGTGGTGTTATGTTAATATAGTGCTATATATCAGGTACAGTACATGCCAAATTTTCAAGGAAAAAAAAAATCTCTCAAGTAATGCTGTAAAATATACATGAGAGTCCATTGGTACTAAATTACTATAATATTGAAGGTTAAAATTTACTGATTTGTTAAAATTACACTTAATGAAGTTTTTAAAATAATAAAGTTACAATTATGTAATAATATTTCTACTTCAATTAGTTTTTTTTATATAAACAATGGTGGCTGTAATAAAAACGATGGATTTATTCAAACAAATGAAACATTGAAGAACAGTAAAATTCATAATGAATATGTTATTTGGTGCATATATTTAGCAAAATGCCCCTCTCTATGGTTTATTTTTCTATCTGACTAATGAGTTCTCACAACAGAATCACACAACCATACAACCATACACACACACACACACACACAGGTAACCTTTGTGTTAAGAATTAAGAATTCTTCACTTCAGTTCCTATCGCGTGTGGTAGAAAAGAGCGGAGAGCCTGTATATTAGGGCTGGGTTTTGAAATAAATTTCACGATTTGATTCTCATTCAACAAGCTTGCGATTCGATTCGATTACCAAGTCGATTCGATTCAATGTCGATTATTTTGGATATATATCAGGTACAGTACATGCCAAATTTTCAAGGAAAAAAAAATCACTCAAGTAATGCTGTAAAATATACATGAGAGTCCATTCATTTTACTTCTATTAACTGTTATGTGCTTTTACCATTTTTTTTAATATTTCTATTTAGCTTTTTTTATTTCAGTTCTTATATGGTCTTATTGCAATTAACAAAAAATAATTAGATTTCGAAATAAGTTTCAGTTTTAGTTAACAATAACAACCCTGCTGCAGAACATGTGACATACATGGGTAATCACATACTTTACACATACTTACACATCCTGTGCTCTCTCATACAAACTTAAACAGCATTTAGAAAATTCCTTTAGAATTTTTATGTATGGAATATTTGTACCTTAAAATTGAACTTTAAATTAAGTAGTTAGGTTAAAGAGGTGTTTAAAATGGGTGAGGAGTGTAAAATAAATTGTCAGGACCTAAAATATTGACCTTTTTCTCAATTCAGTAATTAAATTTTTTATATAAAAATAGATTTTTAAAGTCACTGAACACAATAGACATCAAATTACCCATTAAAATTTTCACAATACACGCGGACACACACACACACACACACACACACACACACACGTAAGGATCTCACCTCTGCCTGGAGCAGCTGACCACTTTGACAGCGGCCGGCTGTGAAAAAGGAGAAGAAAAAAAAGAGCTCTTTTTCAAATTCACTGTATACTGGTGGTCTCTGGTATAGTCAGATGAGGGCGAGTGAGATATTCTTACTTAAGGCTTTCTTGCGAACTGGAGGACGAGCGATCCGACTGTGGCAGGGACGCCACACTGCCAGAGCTCTTTAGATACGACTGAAGTGTCTTCTGATAGGACGATTCTAATGAGTTATACAGAGACTCCGCCTCCCCGGGGAAATGAGCCCGCAACCCCCAGTATGCCCTGCAAGAGAGCAACATCAGAAAAAAAACACAAAAAACTAAATACATTAAGTAATTTGAGGATGGCACTCACTTCCTGGCCTCCACTCGAGCCTCTGAGTCTGCATCTTTGATTCCCTTCTTAATACTGTCCACCAACACAGCCACATGCCTGAGACACGGAGGAAAGAGAAAGAGCAGTTACATAGAGCAGTTTTGGCCTTTCAACACCAGTAGGCAGCTCTAGTTTAGCCTGCGCTGTGGTGGTACCTCTCCAGAGAGTGAGTCTGCCATTCCTGCAGCAGAAGATCCAAGAAATCATAACAGCGCCTGACAGACAGAGAGAGGAAGAAAGTGAATTCAGTAATGAATGTGCTCATTATGTCTGTAAACTTGCAAAGGGCTCAGAAGGTCTGGGAGATAAATTCAATATTTACAATATATTTATTAAAACTGCAATATTCAGTTGTTGGAAATATAATATTAAACAAAATCATAATGTGCTTTTTATTTAGCCAGTTACATCTCTTAAAGACTGTGCAGGCAGACTAGATTCCTGACTTGCAAATATGAGCATGTTAAGACACTTATTTTTAATAGGTTGTCTGGTTTGATCTTCATTAGCAAAAGAGTTGAGAAGTTGGACTCATTTCCAAAAATCAGTTCTTTCAAACTGCCCATTTCAACTAAGTCGAACACTGGTTTGGAAATTTCTTTGTTTCATCCTCCCTCAAATCATTTACACTGTATGATGAAAAATGTTCATTAAAAACAGGAAAAAAAAAAGTTGCCCTATATTACTATGTACTGTAATATTTGTGCATATAAACACAATTCAAGCAAGTAGTGAGAAACAATCACTGGTGATTCAAGTTTTAATTATTCTTGATTATTCAAGATTGATTATTGATGATAATTCATTCAGGTTTTACTTTTTGTATTAAAGAAAAGATCAAAAGTAGCAGTTAAATCTTACATTGTTAGAAAGATTTCTATTTTTTTTAAAAAGATATTTTGAACTTTCAATTCATCTAAGAATCCTGGAAAATAATGTCAGGGTTTACACACACAAAAGTAAATACATTTAAAAAAAGTAAAAAAGTAAATCGGTTTTGACCCAGCTGTAGTGTGTTGAAGTAGTTTTAATGTCTCACCTCCGGACGGACACAGACTTTGACGTGCAGTTACTAGTGATGAGAGGAATTAGACGTGGGACATGAGTGTGCTGAAAATACAAAAACATATGGTCAAACACACACAGAACACACAGTGCAGTCAGACACAACAAACTAATGCACACCACTGTTTCTCACCCGTATGATGATGCGTATGGCTGCTGTGCCAGATGTGGCCATCACTTTGGCACAGTTAGGGATAAGATTGAAGAGCACTGGAACAATGGCCTCTGCTCCATGATCAAACTTATTCCCTAATAGTTTAAAGATATTTTGAACTTTCAATTCATCTAAGAATCCTGGAAAATAATGTCAGGGTTTACACACACAAAAGTAAATACATTTTAAAAAAGTAAAAAAGTAAATCGGTTTTGACCCAGCTGTAGTGTGTTGAAGTAGTTTTAATGTCTCACCTCCGGACGGACACAGACTTTGACGTGCAGTTACTAGTGATGAGAGGAATTAGACGTGGGACATGAGTGTGCTGAAAATACAAAAACATATGGTCAAACACACACAGAACACACAGTGCAGTCAGACACAACAAACTAATGCACACCACTGTTTCTCACCCGTATGATGATGCGTATGGCTGCTGTGCCAGATGTGGCCATCACTTTGGCACAGTTAGGGATAAGATTGAAGAGCACTGGAACAATGGCCTCTGCTCCATGATCAAACTTATTCCCTAATAGTGTGGAAAGATGCCTGCAAAGACACAAACATAAATTGGTGTTTTTTTACAATGAACAAAAAGCAACACACAAATCAAAATTAATTTGACTGGAAATGGGAATTGCTCGTGTCACCTCCTTGTCTCCAGCACTTAATTAAGTGGCTGATGGAAAAAAGATCTTAATAATCTACATACCATGCACATACAATGTTCTAGTGCAAGAGATTTGAGTTCACATTGTTTAAGAAGTCAATTATGGCTCGTTTCCACTGAGCGGTACGGTTCAGTACAGTATGGTACGAATTATGTCCGTTTCCGTTTCCATTATCAGAAGTTGTGAATTGTACCAAAATAGCGAACTGTACCATACCACTTTTTTGGTACCCTTCCATTGGGGGACCTAGCACAGCAAAGGGTACCAAAAGGGTGGAGCCAAACTCACTGCAGAATGTTAATTGGTTGACTAGAATCGTCACTTTTGCGTGCTACAAGGGGATAAAGCTTCTCCTTTACTCGTTCTACTCTGCTGTCCATGAGTGTTGGGCTTATTTACATCAGTGCGCGCATGAAAGGCGAGAATGTGCTTGTTTAAAACTCAAATCTGCAGTTTATTTAAAAAGATAGCGCCTATTTGAAAATTTGCTATGCCGATTTCGGAGCTCCAGGCGATCACCGGGCGCTCAATGCTCATGTATCCCCCTAGAGCAGCCTTAGCTCGGCTAGTCCTTCCGACATTTGCTGCTGGCTCTGATGTCTCTGTAGTGATTAAACATGAGATACAATTCATTTTGGGTAAATTTAACAGGCATTCGCGGTCTCATGAATCTATTATTTGTTCCTGGTCATATCGTTTTGGCTGAGCACAAAGTTATGTTTAACTTGTATATTTATTTTGAACTTTACCGTAGTACAGCACTGACTTTGTAGCATACGTTTGACTGAATTGTTTAATATTTTCACACAGACAATAGCCATTACTCAATATGCGTTCTTGTGGACTTGTGAAACATCATTGCCCAAAAACCCGCATTATTTTCAAAATATTACTGTTATTGTGTCATGAAAGGCGAGAATGTGCTTGTTTAAAACTCAAATCTGCAGTTTATTTAAAAAGATAGCGCCTATTTGAAAATTTGCTATGCCGATTTCGGAGCTCCAGGCGATCACCGGGCGCTCAATGCTCATGTATCCCCCTAGAGCAGCCTTAGCTCGGCTAGTCCTTCCGACATTTGCTGCTGGCTCTGATGTCTCTGTAGTGATTAAACATGAGATACAATTCATTTTGGGTAAATTTAACAGGCATTCGCGGTCTCATGAATCTATTATTTGTTCCTGGTCATATCGTTTTGGCTGAGCACAAAGTTATGTTTAACTTGTATATTTATTTTGAACTTTACCGTAGTACAGCACTGACTTTGTAGCATACGTTTGACTGAATTGTTTGCTTTTGTCTTTATTTCCTCTTATACTTTGTACTTATACTTTCATAATGGCTGTTATTGTTCATTAAAACTGCGTTTTAGAGTTGTGCTTTACATCATATTGAGAAACGGCTATTGTCGCGCTTTATCGTCGATCGCTACTTTTCGGCATACACCACGACTATCAAGTAAGGGTACTGTTGGCGGTGGAAACACAAGCTGGATCAGGGTGTTCGGTCCCGAATCGTACCGTACTGTACTGTACTGACCCGTACCGCTCAAGTCTCTTATACTTTGTACTTATACTTTCATAATGGCTGTTATTGTTCATTAAAACTGCGTTTTAGAGTTGTGATTTACATCATATTGAGAAACGGCTATTGTCACGCTTTATCGTCGATCGCTACTTTTCGGCATACACCACGACTATCAAGTAAGGGTACTGTTGGCGGTGGAAACACAAGCTGGATCAGGGTGTTCGGTCCCGAATCGTACCGTACTGTACTGTACTGACCCGTACCGCTCAGTGGAAAGGAGCCATTAGACACTCACGCCACCGTGATGCAAGCCTCTCGCACCACCTGAGAACGCAGGTCTTTTGCCGACAGCTTAAATGCGCCATCCAACAGACGCAGGTGCTGGTAGAAACAATCATAGTCTGCTGCCCCGGCAACCAGCAGAGATCGGAATTTCTTTAGCTGTGGAGGGAAAGGGAGGGGGAATGATACCACATCAAAGAGGGTTTGTCACAACTGAATAGAAATGCATAAGCAAAACTAGATAAAAGCCAGGAAACTTACAATTCCTTGTACAATTCTCCTTACAATTCCATAAAATGTTGAATAGAGGTTTAAAACATGAAGTGTAAACGAACCATATGTATGGTCACAAAGAAAACTTTAGGTCTGGTGCATCCTAATGACATCACCTCTTGAACATTGTCATTGTCATGGGAAACACTAATAACAGCACATTTCACCAAATATTTGTTCAGTAAACAAATTCAGCCGCTTGTAAGTGGAATATGGAGACAATGTCGATGTGCTTAAGTCTACATGAAACTAAAATGTATTTTGTGAATGGATATTATAGATCTTATTATGGACAATGTATCCATGCATTAATTTCTTTTTTTTAATTTTAGCCTTGTAATGTTTAATCAAATAACGATTATTTTGGTAATCGAGTAATCAGTCGCTTATTCTAACAATTAATCGAGTAATCGGATTATTATAATATATTTTTAGCAGTAATAAAAACAGACTTAAGCGAACAACAGCCTTTACACGGATTTAAAATACATATATAATAGCAAATAGGCAATAATAATTAGTTCAAATAGAGTATCAAAAGCAAGCAATCATATGATTTTACTGAACAAAACTGTTAAAATTCATAATGTATTATGAACAGAGCTAACGTACATTACGCATTATAATAAATGCTAATAATTAAAGCGTATATATCAAACCAGCATCGCATATATTTAATTAAATCGTAGCGTGTGTACATTCATAACAGCATTATGCTTTATTATGATTTTTAAATGGGTTTAATACATCACGCAGCCTTGGAAAACGGTCTAAAGGTGCGTCATATCACGCCATATCATAATTACCGTGATCATGAGATGCAGCATTCACGTACTTGTAGAAATCTTAATTACAACTTGTGAACTAGTAAAATGAAGTAGAACGTCACGTATTGTCATCTCGAAATTAAATAATTACTCCGATTTAATCGAGGAATCGTGACAGCCCTAATCATAAACCTCCAGTGATGCATACAGAACTTCTCCAATCATTTAGTCCACTTAAACCCATACACTTGGATGTGCGTCACAATACGGAAGAAAAGATCTGACGCTACTTCTGGTTCATCGCAACTTTAAAGAGAGCAGAAAATTTTGAGTGAAGAATTGCTTATTCTTTCCTCATTAAAAACTTTTTTAAATTAAGAAATCAATAAAACAGACAGAGTTAAATCAGTAACCTAATGAAAACCATCTTTTTTTTACATAAAGCAGGTCCTCTCACATGGGCCACCATGTTGAGACCACATGACCAGTTAAACTGACTTCCTTTATTTTGGTAACTGTCATAACAGTCACTTTAGTTTAACTGACGGTTAGTTCAATGCACTAGGGAGTTTGATTGACAGGTGATCTGACTAATCATAAAGCTGAATCTGCCATTTTTGTCTGACAATCAAACCAGACATGAGAGTAGATTAACATTGATGGACTTGAACTTGCAAAATGGTGTGTATTGACGTCTTTCCACGGTTGAAACAAGATACCTTCATATGTTCATTCATGTTTATTTCATGCTATAACTAGAAAAGAGGAAGAGATTATTGGTTAATGAGCTGCTTGAAATCAGACACTACAGCGATCTGTTATGACACATTAAAGAGCCACAAAACATTAGGTTACTTGAGTAACCCCGGTTCTCTGAGAACAGAGTGAGGTATCTCACTATGGGAACGCCCCCAGGCGTGATAGAATACAGAAGCACAAATTACACATGTCTGTCTAAAGGACGGACCAATCACAGCTCAGGACAAGGAGCCCACCCCCTACCTATATATACAGCTGTGATCCCCGAAACGGCATTCTAAGCATGCTCTTCCCCCGTGTTATGCGAGTAGGGAAGCTTGGTGAGATACCTCGCTCTATTCTCAGAGAACCGGGGTTTACGCAAGTAACCTAATGTTCTCTTTCAAACAATCGCTCGGTATCTCACTATGGGAATGATATAGCCAAATCCCATAACGCATGCTTTCCGAAGCCGTCAAACAGACTCGAAAAGGAAGAAAGATAACCTTTCAATTCTCTAAAGAGCCAACTTTAAGAACTGCATGAGCCAATGAAGGTGCGGTGAAATCCGCAAAAATTGGTGCGGTGAAATCCCGCGGGTGGAGTACCCATTCTCCATATAACGGGTTGGCCCTTGACAGGAGATCTGCTCCAACATTCAGGACTCCCAGGACGTGCGTTGCGTGCAGCAAGCTGAAATGCACGGTGCTCCAGACACCGATTGTGCAGTTGTAGCGAACACGTTCCCCCTTGGCGATTGATATATGCCACCACCATCGTGCAGTTGGTCCTGACTAGAACATGAAAACCTTCAAAGAATGGGTGAAAATGCTTCAGGGCTAGAAAGATTGACATTAACTCCAGCATGTTTATGTGAAGTCTGCGAAGCGGAGGCATCCAACGACAGGTTACCGATCTGCCCTGAAAAACAGTTCCCCATCCCGCCATGGATGCGTCCGTTGTCACTACTTTCCTGTCCAGAACACACAGGGGTTTTTCCACTGATGAAGAGCCATCACACACACCGTGGTAATTCTCAACTCTGCGTGAGAGGTGCCGACGAGGACACAGATGCCTCGCTGCTACCCAACGCTGAAAGTCCCTCACTTTTAGCAAGCCCAGCGGGACCACAGACATGGGCATGATGGCTTCGGTGCTAAGTAGGAGACAGGTCCTGAACGAGACCCGCTTCCCCACATGAAGCTGGGCTAGGCACTGATAAAACACCATTATCCTTCTCTCCGAGAGCATGTAGAGTCTATTCGCAAGCCTAGATACTCTATCTCCTGGGACGGAATCAGCTGGCTTTTGGCATAGTTGATTCTGAACCCCAGATTCGTGAGATGAGACGTGAGCATCTCAGTGTCCCGCTCCAGTGAATGAGCACATATCAGATAGTCGTTCAAATAAGCAGATATTCTGAGACCCTTGTGTCTCAGCGGAGATAACGCTGCCTCTATGTACCAGGTGAACACGCGCGGAGCAAGGCTGAGCCTGAACGGGAGAGTAACAAATTTGTACACTTTGTTCTGAAAGGAAAACCTGAGATATTTCCTGTGTGCAGGATACATGCTTATATGAAAGCAAGCATCAGCCGCAGCAAACCAATCGCCCCGGTGGATTGAACGAGTGAAAGCCCCGACTGTGTGCATCCTGAATTTGTACTTCCTTAAGTGCTTGTTAAGAGCACGCAGGTTCAGTATTGGGCGCAAACTCCCATCTTTCTTTGGAATTAAAAAAATAACGGGAGTAATAGCCCCTCTGTCTTTCCCCCACTGGAGCTCGTCTTATAGTGCTTTTCTCCAAGAGGGAGAATATTTCTGCTTCCAAAACCAGAGCTGAATCCCCATCTGCTACAGAAGCAATAACCCCGTTGAAAGGATGAAAAATGGTTTTACAGCGAACTGAAGCCTGTAACCTTTGGTTACAGTTGCGAGGACCCACAGATGTGCAGAACACTCTCTCCACGTCTCCTGATGAAGAGCCAGGGGGTTCTGTTGAACCGATTCCATAGATGGAGTGCTGGCACCATTTAGTGGACAGAGACAAAAAAGGCCAGGATCTGTGTGGCTCAGAGACTGAATTCTCGCTCGGCTCTTTGATATTATTGTGTTATTGTCTCCCTGCGCCCTCGGCACTGAGCCTGGATGCGACAGAGGATTTTTTTATTTGCTTTGAACCCAGGGGCTGAAGTGCTTTGTAACAATACACTTGAGAACTTGTGCTTGAACTCAGCATACCACATTCTTTTGGTGGCTGTGTTCTACGCACTGGAACTTGTCTGCCTTGCACTCTGGGGTTTTGCAGTTCTGGACGTATTCAAAAATCTCCTGTTCTGCGTCGGAGGAACAGGCCGAGGGGGAAAAGGATGCTCTTTTACATGGGAGACAGATGTCAAACGCCTTTCCTTCCTTCTTCTGGAGGTCGCACTTCTGTCTTATCGCCACAACAGCCGGGCCAAACAGCCTGCTCGAATCTAAGGGAGCGTAGAGAAAATCCAATTTCAAGATCACTCAGGGGAGAGGGTTGGGCCCCATTTGCCGAAGGAGGGACAGCAGAGAGAACCGGATCGTCTTCGGAAAATGCCGCCACTCAAAGTCTTCTCTATAGAATCCTGGCCGGCATTACACGACAGTGTGAGCAACTTTCCGCATCCGCCAGCACAGCCTGGGCATGCTTGACACCCATGCATGCGATACACATCAGATGCGAATCCCTGCCCGAGATCATGAATCCACATGCTGCCAGATATGAGCGCAAAGGGGCATCCTTGCCTTTCTCCACCACGACCTAGGACACCAACATGGGGAGTTAAATATCCCCTAAACTTAGCTCGCCTTTACGCATTAGTTAGGATAGGAAACACTGCTAATAACAGCAAAGCAAAGAATCTCAGTAACGAGCAGAAAATCTGCAACAGATTTTCTCTTTTTTGTTTTTCTCTTTGACTACACTGCGTTCGGCAATATCAACCTTGACGGTACGTCTACGAACTGAAAGCAGCGCAGCCTAGGTTCTGAAGGAAAGTCTTCACGGGGAAGAGAACAAGAATGCCGTTTCGGGGATCACAGCTGTATATACAGTGGGTACGGAAAGTATTCAGACCCCCTTAAATTTTTCACTCTTTGTTATATTGCAGCCATTTGCTAAAATCATTTAAGTTAATTTTTTTTCCTCATTAATGTACACACAGCATTGTTGACATTTTTGCAGATTTATTAAAAAAGAAAAACTGAAATATCACATGGTCCTAAGTATTCAGACCCTTTGCTGTGACACTCATATATTTATCTATATATATATTTACCTGTCTATATAAGACCTTACAGCTCATAGTGCATGTCAGAGCAAATGAGAATCGTGAGGTCAAAGGAACTGCCTGAAGAGCTCAGAGCCAGAATTGTGCCAGGGCACAGATCTGGCCAAGGTTACAAAAACATTTCTGCTGCACTTAAGGTTCCTAAGAGCACAGTGGCCTCCATTCCTTAAATGGAAGACGTTTGGGATGACCAGAACCCTTCCTAGAGCTGGCCGTCCGGCCAAACTTAGCTATCGGGGGAGAAGAGCCTTGGTGAGAGAGGTATGTCTCTAAAAATGGCTGTCCACCAACGTTTACCATCCAACCTGGCAGAACTGGAGAGGATCTGCAAGGAGGAATGGCAGAGGATCCCTAAATCCAGGTGTGAAAAACTTGTTGTATCTTTCCCAAAAAGACTCATGGCTTTATTAGATCAAAAGGGTGCTTCTACTATATACTGAGCAAAGGGTCTGAATACTTAGGACCATGTGATATTTCAGTTTTTCTTTTTTAATAAATCTGCAAAAATGTCAACAATTCTGTGTTTTTCTGTCAATATGGTGTGCTGTGTGTACATTAATGAGGAAAAAAATTAACTTAAATGATTTTAGCAAATGGCTGCAATATAACAAAGAGTGAAAAATTTAAGGGGGTCTGAATACTTTCCGTACCCACTGTATAGGGAGAAGTGGTGGGCTCCTTGTCATGAGCTGTGATAGGTCTGTCTTTTGGACAGACGTGGTGCAACTGGTGCTTCCATAGTCTATCATGCCTGGGGGCGTTCCCATAGTGAAATACCGAGCGATTGTTTGAAAGAGAACGGTATTTATTGTTTGAATTAAAACAAAAAATATTGACAATTTGAAAGCGGAGACTTTGTTTCATACCAAAAATAACCTGTTGTGTCTTGACTGTCGGCGTGTTCTCAGTTTTCTCTTTTGGTCACAATGTATTTTTTTACTGCATGAGAAAATGAGAGCAGCATGGTTTGTCGGACATAACAGCAACGAAGGGAGATGGGTCTTTGCGAAAGGTCAATTGATCAATTAATAATGGATGACTACAAAAAGCACTTTTTGTTTTAAAATGTGGCATTAGTAACTGCAAATGTGTTCAAATCTTTACACACAAATCTGTGTAAGTCCAAGGCGACCCCCATATCAACCAGCTTAACTGGACAAAATTACCTGCATGAGTGTTTAAATCGTGTACTCTATGTTGTACTCACCGCGTTTGTTCTATGGTCCCAGTCATGTTTATCGTCAGACAGAACTTCACGAATCTTGTTCAGATTATCCTCCAGGTCTCGAGTGGAGTAGATCTATGTAATGAGAGAGACGCACAGATAGACACCAGTTTTAGATCAAACAATTCCAAGCCTTTGATGAAACGTGAATGTTATGAAAGCCATGGGTGGATTGTAACTAGGTTCTGAGGGAATTGAGTAACACCTCCCTCATTTACATGCAAGTGTCTCACCTGAACCGTGGGGACGTCTGTGAATGCTTTGATAAAATCCTCCTCATCAATAGCTCCTGCCCCCTCCTTAGAGACACCTGCAAAACACATGAGTGACTTCCATTAAAACACAAAAACTTGAGACAGCTATGAGGTTTATTGAAGGGCACATGAATCGATCACTGTTTGAGACATTTTTAATCTCAGTCACACTTGGAGACAACTAACTGACAGTTGCAGCCATTACCATCGAAACTGAGCACAATGAGGTGTTCCTATGGCAACTGTTGTATTGCTAATCAAACAGGAGAGTGTTCTCTGTGGGGGGAGGGAGTTTCATACATACAGTGCATTCAGTAAGTATTCAGACCCCCTTCACTTTTTTTCAATTTGGTTATGTTGCAGCCTGATACTACAATTGTTTAAATTCATTTTTTTCTCATTAATCTACACTCCGTATTTCATAATGACAAAGTGAAAACAGAATTTTTGAAATGTCTGTAAATTTATTAAAAAGAAAAAAACTGAAATATCACATTTAGTAAATAGTTGAACCACCTTTGGCAGCAATTGGAGCCTTGAGTCTTTTTGGGTATGACGCAACAAGCTTTGCACACCTGGATTGGGGGATTTTCTGCCATTCTTCTTTGCAAATCTTCTCAAGCTCGGTCAGGTTGGATGGGGACTGTTGGTGGACAGCCATTTTCAGGTCTCTCCAGAGATGTTCGATAGGGTTCAAATCAGGGCTCTGGCTGGGACACTCTAGGACTTTCACAGAGTTGTTCCTAAGCCACTCCCGTGTTGCCTTGACTGTGTGCTTAGGGTCATTGTCATGTTGGAAGGTGAAACTTGGCCCAGTCTGAGGTCCTGAGCACTGTGGAACAGGTTTTCACTGAGGATATCTCTGTACTTTTCTCCATTCAGCTTTCCCTCAACCCTGACCAGTCTCCCAGTCCCTGCTGCTGAAAAACACCCCCACAGCATGAGTAAACACTTTACTTTTGGGATGGCAATCTGCAGGTGATGAGCAGAGCTGGTTTCCTTCAAAAGCATGATGCTTAGAATTGCGGTTCATCAGACCTGATTTTCTTGTTTCTCACAGTCTGAGGGTCCTTTAGGTGCTGTTTTGCAAATTCCAAGTGTGTTTTCATGTGTCTTCACTGAGGAGAGAATTGAGTTTTGCCACACCACCATAAAGCCCAGATCGGTGGAGTGTTGCAGTATATGATGATAGAGCTCAACTAGAGCGACCATCAGGTTCTTGGTCACCGGTCTAGACAAGGCCCTTCTCCACCAATTGCTCAGTTTGGCTGGTGACCAGCTCTTGGAAGAGTCCTGGCTGTGCCAAACTTCTTCCATTTGAGAATTATGAAAGCCACTGTGCTCTGGGGAACCTTCAGTGCAGCAGAAATTTTATTGTAGCCTTCCCCAGATCTGTGCCTCGATTCAATCCTGTCTCTGAGCTCTGCAGGCAGTACCTTTGACCTCATGGATTGGTTTTCGCTCTGATATGCATTGTCAGCTGTGAGGCCTTTTATAGAGAGGTGTGTTCCTTTTCAAATCATGTCCAATCAATTTAATTTACCCCAAGCAGACTCCAATCAAGGTGCAGAAACATCTCAGCAATGATCAAGAGAAATGGTAGGCACCTGAGCTAAATTTCAAGTGTTATTGCAAAGAGTCTGAATACTTATGTAAATGTGATATTTCAGTTTTTTCTTTTTAATAAATTGAGACATTTCTAAAATTCTGTTTTCACTTTGTCATTATGAGGTACGGAATGTAGATTAATGAGAAGAAAAAAAATTTTTAACAAAAATTTTAACAAAAAACAATTGTAGTATCAGGCTGCAACATCACAAAACTGAAAAAAGTGAAGGGGGTATGAATACTTTCTGAATGCGCTGTATATACGGTGGGTACGGAAAGTATTCAGACCCCCTTAAATTTTT